CCTTATTCACAAAACGCCGGTGGCGTCTGGGACCGGCCCCCAGGAGCGAACCAGAGCATTGGATGGCCCTACCTCCATCCGCGCCGCCCGGACCCCGCCGCTGCTCCGCCGCCGCCTGCTGCTGCCGCTGCCGCACCGAGGCCAGGACCACCGGCCCAGGCCCCTGCTCCGGCCTGCTTCCCCAGGCGTGTGTGAGAGACGCGCTGGGGCGGGGTGGGGCAAGGGGAGGGGTCCTGCGGCCTACAAAGCGCCGGTGGTGTCCAGGGGCCGGCAGCCTTGGGCCAGCGGTCGAAGGGCAACGGCCTAAGGGTGGTGACGCCGCCGTTTGGGAGCCATTTGGGGGCTGAGTAGGGGGCTAGGCTGGCCGGGAGCTTTGGTGGTTGGCCTTGGTTTCGTTCGTTTGTGGGCTAGCAATGGTTTTAAGTAGGATATTTTTAGTAATTTTAATTGTCGGTTTTAGGTTGCTATTAATTGGTGCATCTCGTGCTTTACTATGATGTTGCCTGGGGAGCATGGGCGCTGCCATTGGGGTGGTGATGGGCAATGGACGTTATGGCGTTGGGGGTCTAGCGGGTCTGCATAGAAGAAGGAGGGACAGATGGTTAACACCTGTCCCTCTTTCTGGTTATTCCCCCAACTGGCGGGTTCCAAGTAGACTTGTCAGCTGCCCCCCGGACCTGTCGGTGCTGTTGCTTAATGCCAAGACGGTCCAAAATAAGGCAACACTCATCCGTGATTTGATCATGGATGAGAGGGCCGACCTGGCTTGTATCACAGAGACCTGGGCGGGTGAGGGGGGGATGTCGCTCTGGTTTATCGAGCTTCTATTTCCTTTGTGGGGCTTCCTGTCCTCTTGAGGCCGGGGCTGGAGTGCCTCCACTTGGCGTTGGGTGACCAAGACAGATTGGGGATTCTGTTGGTGTACCGTGCACCCTTCTGCCCAACAGACTCCCTGCCTGAGCTGACAGAGATCGTCTCGGACCTGGTGTTGAGGACTCCCAGGATGTTGGTCCTGGGGGACTTCAATCTCCATGCTGAGACGGTTCTAACCGGGGAGGCTCAGGACTTCATGGCCTCCATGGTGGCCATGGGGCTGTCTCAACACGTCAGTGGCCCGACCCATGAACGTGGACATACTCTGGACCTGGTTTTCTCGACGGGGCAGGAAGAGGGTGATCTGAGGGTGAGGAATTTAAGTTTGACGCCCTTGTCGTGGTCAGATCACTTCCTCATAAGATTTGAGCTCGAGAGTGGCCTTTCCCTCTGTAAGGGTGCAGACCAGATTGTATTGGTCCGCCCCCGAAGCCGGATGGATCCTGATGGATTCCTGAAAGCTCTGGGGGATTTTCCGGTTGACAAGGCTGGTGATCCTGTTGATGCCCTGGTTGAATTGTGGAATGAGGAGGTGACCAGGGCTATTGACATGATCGCTCCCAAGCATCCTCTCCCACCTGACAGAGCCCATTCATCTCCTTGGTATACACCTGAATTACGGGCGATGAAGCAGGTTGGGAGACATCTAGAGCATAGGTGGAGGAGATTACGGGGTGAATCTGACCGAACACACTTAAGAGCCCATTATTGGGCCTATGCTGTGGCAGTGAGGACAGCGAAGAAGAAATTCTTTCCACTTCCGTTGCCTCCTCACAATGCTGTCTGGCAGAGCTCTTTCGGGTGGTGCAAGGGCTGATACATCCAGGCCCAAAGAAAGATCTCATACCACCCTCAAAGGCCCACTGTGATGACTTTGCCAGGCATTTCAGGGAGAAAATTGCTCAGATTCGCCACGAGCTTAACTTTACTATTGAACCAGATTCTACAGAGGAGATGCCAATGACGCCGTCGAGTCCACAATTAATGGAGGAATTTCATTTGTTGCAGCATGATGATGTGGACAAGGTGCTTGGACAAGTACGCCCTACCACCTGCTTACTAGACCCATGCCCATCTTGGCTACTTAAGAAAGCCAAGGATGGGATTGCCACCTGGATCCTGGAGGTGGTCAATGCCTCTTTAAGAGACGGTCAGGTACCTTCTTCTTTAAAAGAGGCGGTAGTCCGACCAGTCCTAAAGAAGGCGTCACTGGATCCAGAGATGGCCACTAATTATAGACCAGTGGCCAACATCCCGTTTCTGGGCAAGGTGTTAGAGCGGGTGGTGGCGGGACAACTCCAGGCACTCTTGGATGAAACTGATTATCTGGACCCATTTCAGTCCGGCTTCAGACCTGGGTACGGTACTGAATCTGCCTTGGTCGCCCTGTACGATGACCTGTGCAGGTAGAAGGACAGGGGGAGTGTGTCCCTGTTGGTTCTCCTGGACCTCTCAGCGGCTTTCGATACCAGCGACCATGGTATCCTTCTGGATAGGCTTGTGGGATTGGGGGTCGGAGGCACTGCTTTGCAGTGGTTCCGCTCCTATCTCAATGGCTGATTTCAGAAGGTGGTGCTGGGGGACTATGGCTCTGCGCCATGGCAGTTATGCCATGGAGTTCCGCAGGGGTTCATTTTGTCCCCCTTGCTATTCAACATCTACATGGGAAAGGTCATTAGGAGGTGTGGGCTGCAGAATCATCAGTACGCTGATGATACCCAGCTCTACCTCTCGTTTTCCACCAATCCAGGTGAGGCAGTGGCTGTACTGAACTGGTGCCTGGCCAAGGTAATGGGCTGGATGAGGACCAATAAACTGAAGCTCAATCCAGACAAGACGGAGGTCCTGTTGTTAGGCGGTTCGGGCTTTGGGGCAGGGGACCTGGACCTTGTCCTGAATGGAGTTGCACTCCCTCTTAGGGACAGCTTGGGAGTGTTCCTCAACCCTGAGCTGTCTTTAGAAGCCCAGGTGACGACGGTGGCGAGGAGTGCTTTCCTTTAGCTTCGGCTGATCCATCAGCTGCATCCCTTCCTGGAGAACTCTTGCCTGGCAACAGTGACATACACGTTGGTAACTTCCCGATTAGATTTCTGCAATGCGCTCTACGTGGGGCTACACTTGAAGATGGTCCAGATACTTCAATTGGTGCAGAATAGAGCTGCCAGGCTGCTGACGGGAACTGGGCATTGTTCTCATATAATCCCAGTTCTCCGTCAGCTCCACTGGCTCCTGATTGAAGTCCAGGCCCAATTCAAGGTGTTGGTTAAGACCTATAAAGCCCTCAACGGCTTGGGCCCTAGTTATCTAAAGGAACGCTTGCATCCATATCTGCCCTCCCGCCCCTTGAGATCAGCAACAGAAGCCCTCCTCTGGGAACCCTCTGTGAAAGATGTTAGGAGACTGAGTACCCAGAGGAGGGCCTTCTCTGCGGTGGTGCCCTGACTATGGAATGCGCTCCCCAGAGAGGTCCGCCTGGCACCGTTGTTATTTGTTTTTCGGCACCAGGCTAAGACCTTTTTATTTAAAACTTATTTCAAGTGTTAATTTATTATGTAGGATTTTAAAAAATTTTAAGCCGAGATGCACCGGATTTTAATATTTTTAGCGTATAACTTTATTTTTGCATAATTTTGTATGTTTTTGTTTTTGTTGTGAGCTGCCCTGAGGCTTTGTTGCAATGGGGGCTGTATAGAAATGTTTTAAATAAATAAATAGATAGATAAATAACTAAATGCACTTTGAAGCCCCCCTTTTCAAGTGTGCTATTGATTTGGTCTCCCGCCCTCCCTATGCTGCTTCTTTTAAAGGTCTTCTCCATTTGCCATGTGGCCCAAGTATTTTAGGCTATATGGACAATGTAGGTGGTTCTGTCACACAAACCTTAGAAAACAAGCAGCCAAACAAAAATTCAAACAGAATTGTAAATGCATGTCCAAAGGGACAACTCCTGGTTTTCTGGGTGCCAAGTGCAACATCAGAGGGTACCTCCAGTCAGAGGACTCTTAGCAGAACTGGGGTGGCAATGACCGTCCCCGGGATCTGGCCCTCCCCTGATCCTCCAGGCTTCTTCCTGTGCTCAGCCTGCTCTTAGGAACTGAGCTGGGCCAAGAGGAAGTCTGCGAATGCTCACAAAGCTCCAGCTGTGCAACCAGCAACATGCTTCTACAGTACATGCAGCACAAACAATGGCTGTGAGACCAATGCATAGAAACAGGGTGCTGGTGCTGCAGCTTTTATTTATTTATTTAGAAAATGTCTATGCCGCCCCATTCGCCGAAGCCTCGGGGCGGCTCACAAAGCCTTGGGGCGGCTCACAAGCTTTCGTGGGAGCGCAATCCCTGGTGGGCATCTAGGTGAGCGCTCAGTGTCCTCGCCAAGAAGTCAAGACTCCCAACCTCAAGGAAATGGGCCAGGGTCTGGGGAGCTGAGCGTCAGGAGCCCGCTAGTCCACCAAAAAGAGACTCCTCCCACATCCCTAACTGCACAACCAGTTAAAAGTCACTGTGCAGCTGCTCTGACTTTTCCTCCCTAATGGATGACATATGGACAGAAAAAAGGATAAAAGAGCCAGTGCAAAAGCACGGGAAGCTTATGAGTTGTACGGGTTGAATGGTTTCTTTCCTGGGATCCTAATGAAAACGAATCTGAGAGTTTTCTTTTAAACTGAACTCAAAATGAGCTTTTGTGCACATACAATATTGAAGTGCATCATGGGAGCTGTAGTTTAGGAACCCATTGGCCCATTTTATGGGCAAATGACTTTGGAAGCTTGAGGTAGGATACAACCCTCTTTGCTTGATTTCATATGGTGTGTTTTTGGTAGAAGTTGATACCAGCTCTGCATTTGACAGCGGGTTTAGAGTGTTTGTGTCTTTCAGTCGGAATGCTATTTATCTGCAAATGATAGACAATTCTACACAAGAGTGATTTAGTTTTAAGGAGCAAACAGGGGCTGAAGACACAAACCTTAACCATGAAGTCACTTATAGTGTTTATTTTTATTGTGACACAATAGACTAACATCTGGCATTCTTCTAGCCCGAGTTTTGCAGTACAGTCAAAACATGCAATAATTGATCATCTCCTGCACTCGTCCGTTTTCCTCTCTTCTCTCCCTGTCTCTGCAGGACGATACCCACAGCAAAATAAAGGCACGTACATCCGAGTGCCTTTGGTTGAAGAGCTTGAAAGTAGGAAATGGGGAGCTAAAATCACCCACAGAGACAGCAGGGAAGTTACCCTGCGTATCATGCCAGCTGCAGACTGCATTGTGGGAAAATTCCGCATGTACGTGGCAGTCTTGACTAAGATTGGCATTCTCAGGACAAGACGAAACCCAGATACGGATACATACATATTGTTTAATCCCTGGTGTGCAGGTAAGTAAAATGCAATGCAGAGATGGCTTACAGGTGGTGGTGGCAGAGAAAGCAGTGTCATCGATGTACTTGGCCCTCTACAACATGCAGGAAAACCCTGTTCCTAGGAGCTGAATCTGCATTTGTGATTTGATGGCTTCTTCAAGAAAGACCAGTTGAACTGAATGTGATTTCTCCATTAATGGGACTCTTATCTCCATTACCTTGCTCATCTTAGAACAGCACTGTGTAGTTCAGGTGTCCCCAGGCCTCTTGGCTGGTGGGCATATATGGGATTTTGAGCAAGTGTGTGGGCACTTTCACAAAATGGCTGCCATTTTGAGAGGAGGGGCTTGTCTTTTCATAACATGTCAGACATGGGGGACATGGCTGGTCACAAAACATCCCTTTCCCTGAAGGCAAACAGGTGAGATTATAGATATATTTTTAAAAATTCCCAAATGCTTGTTTGCAGGGGCTAAGCAGGTTAAGAACAGGTGATCTTGGGTGGCATTCATTCATAGGGTCACCAGAAGTCAGATACAATTTAATGGCATGTAGCACAACACATTTCCCCAAGAACCTAAGTAGGGAGTGAGTAGCAAAGGAGGGAATGGGCTCTAAAACACAAAGCCCTTAGTTTGAGGCCAAAGCAAAACCTCTTTGCTTCCTGTCATGCCAGGTTCCCTGTTTAAAAAATTGCAAATCTTTTTTTTAAGAAAATAAAGATCACAGGCACTTTGGCAGGTGGTTTCCACAGACACACAGGTGTCATGGGTGCCACAGTGAAACCCCGGGGTGGTCATCCTTATTTGCCCCCCACCCACACACCCCACACCCTCTATTTTGTGCCTCCCACTTCACCAGACATCACCTACTCTGTTTTTCTCCTCTGTTCTTTGGTGCACCTTCTCTGTGCTGCATCACCAACTTTCTCTTGGGGTTTCAGAAGGAGCTCTTGATGTTGCACAGAAGAGCTACTATGGAGAAAGTGAAGATCCTCATGACACCAGCTTTTCCTTTAACAATTGTCTTTCGACTGGTGCCACCATGTGCTTTCAACCGAATTAGCTTCCATAGGTGAAAGCAATCAGTTTTGTTTCTTAAAACAACGCGTTTGAGATCCATAAAACATTTCTTCATCATCGGTACTGCAGCACACAAAAACTATCTGTAGCATTTGCTTCTCTGTCTAAACCAAATGCATTAATAGCTGTCAAAAATCAAGGACACTCTTTTCTGCAATGTGCTTCCCTTCCTCAGCAAGAATTGAAAGCTCCTTTTGACTCTTTTCGCTTTCATTTTTTGCTTCAGCAGCACTTCATTTGAGACAAAATAGAGCACACTTGAACAAAGAAAATGCATTCATTGCCATCTTGTTTTACAAATCTTTATGAAGCAGGAGTAGCAACGAGATACAAACAGATTTAAGCACCTATAATTTTCTGAGCGGAAGAGGGGGAAGGAGGGAGGGGGGGAGGGAGAGAGAATAGTTCAGGATATGCCCCACAGTAGATGGATTGCAGAAGTCAAGCATTTACCCACAGAAACGTCCAGTTCATTCATAATCACATTTGAGTGGTAGCAGGTCATATGTACTATGGAGGCCTACATTTAGATTGCCCTAACTAACTTTTTACTTCTTCTTTTTCAAAGATAGCAAATTCCTTATTGACCACAATCACCTGAAAAGCTCCCTCCACTGAATTCTGTAGAATTCTATACATACTTGCACGTGCAGGCAGATGCCTAGTGCATAAATGGTACCATCTATGGATGTGCACACCAGTCTTTTTCACAATACACTTTGATGACTGTCTGTCTGCCTGCCTGTCTGTAGTGCGTGGGCGTCCATCCAGCTGCATCTTCTCCTCCACTTGTCTCTCCATATCCACTTCCAGTAATCTGATAGCTTTACCATGTCATTCCCAAAGCTGGGGCCAAACTGGACGTAATGTGACCATATCAGTCATCAGCATGAGCCCTGCTTGGTCAGACCCAAGGTCCATCTAGTCCAGCACTCTTACTGATGGGGGCAAAGCATCCACTTGAAATCCCTCAAGCAGGGTGGTTGCAAGACCTCTGCCTGCCTAAGCTCCCCAGCAACTGGTTTAGGATGACATATAGGCTTAAGGGGCATGTGCGGAAGGAAGGGTTAGCCCTTTCCATTAGTGCTGCAATCATGATGAAATGTGCCTTCTGCCTTGCTTGGAGGCGTCCCTACAGCTAATATCCATTTGGGGAAAATATTCATTGAGGAGAGAAGGGTTAACCTCCTCCCTGGTGCTGTGGCCCGGTGAAGATCTCCTTGTCCCTGTTCAAAGAATCATAGAATAGTGGAGTTGAAAGGAACCAAGAAGGCCATCAGGTCCAACCCCTGCTCTTGCAGATCACCAGTTTACACCACCCCAGTCAGATGACTCCATGTTAATCAAGAGATCCACTGTGGTATAGTAGCTCAACTGCTGGACCAGGACTCAAGAGATGCAGATTTTAGTCCCCACTTGGCCACAAAGCTCGCTGGGTCACTTTGCAGCAGTTGGTGGCTCTCAGCCTAACTGACTTCAGAGAGCCATCAAGAGGCTAAAAATGGACAGGAGGAGAAGCTGCCTTAAGCTCCTTGATGGACTGGAAGTGATGCATTTCACATTTGGTCTCACTTAGCCCTCAGAGAATGTGACTTGCTTCATCTTTTCATATACATCTTGATTTAGGCTGGTTCTGTGCCAATTTGTCCTGGAAGATGTCCTTGGTGGATCAGCATCTGGAAATTTGCTCAGAGATTACTGTTCCATGCGGCACTTTAGGATTGCTTGCAAAGAATGTCTGCAAAAGGGGAGAATGCCCCTGTGATGCTCTGTGTTATTCCTGAGTGCAGGGAACTTCCCATGTGCTGACTGGGAGGCCTCCAGCCCCTGGCTTGAAATGGAGCCCTCCAAATGGAGCCCTCTGCTGTGGCCAAAGAGATACTGATGCCTCAAACAAATTCTTCCCCTCTCCCTGACATTATAAGGCAGGGAGGATTCTGATGAGAAGCTGCAGTTGTCCCATCCAGCAGACCCACATAGGTAGCTGAGGCTCGGCTGTCTACAGGCAAAATCAGCAATTAGTTGGAGAGTTTTCTCGGACAAGGAGTTTTCCTTTCCACCTGCCAGAAAGCACTGCTGGTGTGAGAAATAGAAACATGGCTAGTTTTAGCCATAGAAACATGGCTAGAAACATGACCTTGAAAGTGCAGCTGTGTTCTTTCCACGTCAGCTGTAAGGAGGGGGATTGGAACATGGATCCACAGTGCCAATGTTGACGTTCCTTCTCAGACCTTCCCAGTAGTCCTGTAGATGCTGTCCAGGGGGCATAGAATTGCTCTTCTCGTGGTGCAAGGTATTTTAATAAATAGAAAACTTCTGTAAAGCTGCCCTGTCTAGTTTCCTGGGTCCATCTTTTCTCATCCTACCAGGTGAGTAGCTACCAAGAAGTCTGAGTCTCATATAAAAATGGTTAGTGACCAGAGTGTACAGCCCTTCCTCCGATATCTTGTAAGCCCAGTACAAGTTTTCCCTTTAAATACTTTGAGGCCTCCCATCCCATCATGATGAGGTTTCAAAAGTGTCCTTTGATCTGCTGTGCTGATGTCTAATTGCATCATGCACACCAGACATTTCAGCTTTGCAACATATACTTATAAAAGGCTAGACAAGAAGTGACATTTTAATTGTGTTTTACAGATCCTGTTCAAAATAGCTAACAGTTGCTATCATGTTTTGTGTTTGTTCTTTGTTCTTAAGTTAAAGTACAACTTCGTGTGGGGAGAAACATTATTGTACTGCAATGCGAGATGAACAAAAGGCAACCTTTTAATTAATGTCACATCATTTGGCAGCATTAAATTCTGATGTACATTATAAACAAAGTACTTGTAATTAATGTGCTTTTATAAATACAATTCTGATGCAGAGGATGCTGTGTTTCTGGATGATGAACAAGAAAGGCAAGAATATGTCCTAAATGACCTTGGGGTTATTTACTATGGAGACGCTAAATGTATAAAAACCAGGACCTGGAATTATGGTCAGGTGAGTCCTTTTGAAAGAAGTGAGTAGAGCTTTCCAATCACGTTTCTTGCATTTTAAAGACTTTCTGTGCCATGGTGCTGTGCAATATTGTTGAAATATGCCATCTTGGGCTTCCACTAGACATACTGGTACAACTTTTAAAGACTGGAGTATTGGCTGAAATTCTCAACACAGTCACATTAAGGTTTAATGGAATGACTCAAGAGTTAAGGGCTTGCAAAATCTTGTTGGGTAGCTTAGTCCTAAGCTGCTTGTTTACTATGTATGGATTTATTCAACTCCTCCTCATTTATTTAGCCGTACATCTGAGATGATTATGACAGACAGGAGCTTGAAAATATTGATTAATTGATTAATTTAAATGCAACTTCTAACAAAGAAGAAACTAACAAAATATAAACGGCAATGAGAAGCATTATAAATGTTGTTCAGAAAACACCAGGATACCCCATAAAAGCAGTAACACAGACTCATGAGACGTACTTGAACTATTGGTCTTTTCCCCAAGCTGGTGAATTCCAGATGTTTTGGGCACAACTGCCAGCAATCCAGAGCAGTAGACATGCTAGCTGAAGCTGATGGGAGTTGGCAATGAAAATATCTGGAGGCATCAGGTTGGGAAAGTCTGGGCTATCTTCTCAGCAACTTTCAGGCAGCAACTGAGGGTTCAAATCAGGGGACAGCAACATGCAGTCCATAGGCACACGTCCTTTTTTGCCACCCCCAGATTGCCACTGCCTTACTAAATTGCCACTGAAGTCTGGGGGTCTGCAGGGCAATGAAAAAGCCACATTTCTATATTAGAACAAGGGATGTGAGGAATACAAACTTTGCTTTAATGCAATTTCGTGCTTCCCTAAGGGCTTCCAGGAGTACAGTGCTGTGTTAAAACAAGGTGCACCCATGACGTGTGTGTTATTTCAAAGTGAAAACCAGTGGTTTTCTCATTGCCCAGTTGCTGCTGGAATTCAGCAGTGATAATTGTAGTGATTGTGGTATCCCTGGGAGGCGTCACCACTGGAAATATGACAGGTAGGTTACTACACTATATATAAAATGTGATAGGGAAGTGCTCCTCCATAGTAGGAATGCTCGACCATGGTGCCTGGCCCATCTGATTTCAAGAGGCAAACATTTTGTTCTTGGGCCATTCCTTTCCAGGTAGTTTCAGGCATGTAATTGCCAAGCTGTGGGAGTTTTAAAGGTAAGAACCAACACAACAAGGCAGGATCCTGAATTGGGTATCAAAGCTAGTTACTAGCCAGGGTAGGTGCCACAGAGTGGATTGAACATGCTCCTTTCCCCCTGTAATTAGCAGGAGATAAATAGCAACCTATGACACCAGCTGAAGCATCTAAGCATCTTCAGGGTCAGTCCCATGTAGAGCACACTGCAGTAGTCACTCTGCAAGGTTACAAATATGTGGATTAGCAAAGGTCCAAGAAGGTTAATACACCCGTAATGATGAGCATAGCTGGTGCAGACACATGCTTATCCAGGAGCAAAGGAGGTCCCTTGGTTCATAATCTGATCGGATGTGGGGTTTATTGATCCATCTGTCAAAAGAAAGATGACCACGGAGGTGCTAGGGCCTCCTATTAGCAGAGCCTCCATCCTGCCTAGATTCAATTTCAGGCTGTCTTAGCTCATTCGTTCAGCCACAGCATCAAGACTCTCGTTTAGAAAACTTCCCTTCGATGCTTACTTAGTGAAATATAGAACTTGAGGGAAACAGTATTGGTTTATTTATGATACTCATCAGCAAAGCTCTTGATGATTTCTGTCAGCAGAAATTATAGTTGATGGGTGTTAAGCAGCATCAGTGATAAAAACCAGGCCTCATATGTCACCTGCCAGGGGGCCGAAGGGGCTTCAGCAGTGAAGACCCCTTGGGTCCTCTCCGACAAAAGAGGCACTGTCTGACAGGCAGATCCGACATCCCTTCAAGCTGCTCACACCAGGCTTATAAATTAAATGATCTGCCATATAAAAGCATGGAAAGGTCAACAGTTATGGAGAAAGAGGAGTTCCCTTCTCTGTAGGACTGGCGGACCCATGAAGCGGGTTGAAGCCCTCGCCTTAGGTGGCAGACGGGGAGGAGTGGCAAGGTACACCTCCTGTCCTCCCCAAGCCCTGTTGCTGCTTCGGTGGGCACTGCAGTCAGCCCCACCAAACACTCTCTTGTGGTGGCATTTACTGTAGAGGGAGAGAGCCAATGGACTCTCCAGGGCAGTCACCCTCTGGACAGTCACCCTCTCACGGGCCAAGGAAGCACATGGCATGGCTCTTGGGAGAGCCCACTAGGCTGAAATGTTTGGCTCTGGGAGAGCCCTTCCTCAGAGCCAGGGTAGGCAGTATTTGGAGAACAACAACCCCTGACCACTGGCCATGCTGGCCATGCTGACTGAGGCTTCTGGGGGTTGTAGTCCAAAACATCTGGAAGACACCAGATCAGGAAAGGCTGGTCTGAATGCAATATTTACTTTTTAGAGCCAGAAAGGTAGAAAGATGATGGGACTACCTGAGAGGGGAGGGATTGCCTTTAGGCAATCTTTATAGAGGACAGTCCTCCATCTGAAGGGCTGCCTGAGGACAGTGCTTTATTGAAGGCACCCTGTATTAGAAAAGCCATCTGGTCCAAGTCCTGTTTATAGATAGGCCATAGGGAGGGAAAGTCATGGCTTTGGAGCTGCTTATCAGCACTTAGCACTGGGACAACAAACTGAACAGGCAGGAATACAAGTCAACTTTCCACTTGGAAAAAGGAACAAGAAAAAGAGATTCCAAAGCTGACCAGGGAAAGGAATGTAATCTAAGTGGAAAAGACCCAAACCTGGTGCAGGTTAACATATAGGCCCAATGTTATGAGGAAAGGTCAGTGAGTCCAAATCCACCCTCTCTGATGGAGGATCATGGTTATTTCCAAGCATGGTTATTGCTGACGTTAAGATTCATATTGGCATGAATAACTGACACTTTTAGAAGAACCTCTTAAAATTATGAACAGTTGTGGTTAAAATGCACGTTTTATTGATAATAATCATTAATAAGTTGATCTTTTAAATTTATTTGTGCCAATATTAAAACTAATAATTCAGATGAACTTGGTACTATGATGCTTAATGTTGTGAGCCGCCCTGAGGCTTTGTTGCGATGGGGGCGACATAGAAATGTTTTAAATAAATAAATAATGGAAAGGTGCATCCTTTTTAAGGCTATTCATGGTGGAATGGAACCACATAAAATTATGGTACAAAATATTAAGCATCTGGAAATATTTGCTAGATATAAATAAAGGAACATAATGTAAAATACAATCAATTTGAGGTATTACATTCATTTTAAGCATATTTACCCTACCCCACTGATTTAACTTTATCTGTCAATGTCCTTGAGACTGCATCCATCAACTTATTCAAATTTGACTTAATCATTTGTGATATGTTTCTTGGGACAAGTATTCCCAGATAAGTTATAAACTCAGTACAAAGTCTGAAATGACAATTAGATAACACAGTATATTATCTCCAATACGTGTAAGGTTTGACTTACAGAGTCATCAGATACGCTGAAAATCATTGTTTGTATCAAAACTGGAATAGATGAAAGCCATTCCAAAATAAACAAAAGATGATCATTAGTATATAGAATAAGTTTATATTTTCCATATTATGCACAATACATGACTATTACGATTTTGTCCAGTAACATATGTCAGGGGTTCCAAGCATAAATTGAATATCTATGGAGAAAGAGGAAATCTCTGCTTTGTCCCTCTCTCAAGTAAAAACAAAAACAAGACAAAAACAAAACAAAAAACTCAGACAAGACTCTATTGATTCTAACTCTAAGAGTTTCATATACGATTTTAACCCAGTTCTGACATTCTGGAGGAAAACTAAGAATTTCTCAGTGTGGCAAAGGTAAATTTCCAATACATTTTATCGAAGGCTTTCTCCACATTCAGAGAGCTGACAGCAGATGGGTTGCTTCTTCCCTTATTTAATGCAATCAGATTCACAACCAATCTAAGATTATCAGTTCTCTTTCTATATTTAATGAATCCCAACTGGACTAACATTGCAATAACTTCTTGTTATTGTATTTTACAATAACTGTATTGTACAGTTAGTATTTTAATATTAACATTAATCAATGAAATAGGTCAATAATTAGCACAGTGGGTATGATCTCTATCTGGTTTAGAAATTACAATAATATCAGCATTGTAATAATATAATAACATTGAGTGCTGATGAATAATTCAGAAATAGAGTTGTACAAATGATAGCATTTGGGAACTAGAAGAGCTGGAAAATGTTTCATACCACTCAAATGGAAATCCATCTGGACCAGGTGATTTTTATTTTCATATTATTTATCTGTCAATGTCATTTGTAATTTCATCAATCTGCAAAGGTACCATTACATTGGAACATTTCTACACTGGGAAAATTGACCAGAAAAACATACACATACATTAATCTCCTACACACACACACACACGCACACACTTTTATATAGATATTGAATATATGCGTGCATGCACACATGATTATTTTATATATATTCAATTCAAATTTAATATGTTGTACCTCTTGATAAAGTTGTGCATTTGAGGAGGTAGCAAACTAGATTCTAAGAGGTTTCAACTTATCATTTGCCACTCCTTTTAAAATTTATTTTTCTCAAAGCAGAAGCAATATTTTGGCCTTGGATGAAAGCTGTGGTTAAACCTTTTTAAGGAGCCCCCAGCCTTTCGCAAACAGACCATAAGTTCTAATCTTAGGGTTTCCTAAGGTACCCTCATCAGAGAGCTAGGCTTGGTAGTGGCTCCCTGCTGATTGTATTTTCAAAAGCAAGCTCAGCTGTAGAGCTATTTAATGTGTGAAACCATCTTTTTGATATAACATCAGTTTTTTCTTGCAATCATTACTCTTGGAGGCCCATATATGCCTCTGTTCTGATTGATAAACAGTAGAATCACAGGAGGAATATCC